ATGTCAAAATAAAAAAAAAAAAAAAAAAAAATGAGAATAAGATTACATTTTTAAATGTATACAACCAAACTGTAGCTCAACCCCATTAATCATCTCACAAGCCGTCTGATTTATCTGGTGACCCTTTGTGAGGGTCCCGCCCCGTACCTTTATAACCACCAGAATACACCCCCTAATGGTAAAATGACACAGACGCATTGATGCATCAGTATTAATATTGTTATTTAGTATATTAGTCACAGGGGCAATTTTTATTTTTTTTGCAAAACAAGAACTATTATTATTAATACTTGATGTAAATCTAGCTGTACTCTTACTTAAGAAGGACTTGAAGAACATCGATTTCACATGTAATGGAGTATTTATGTTGCATTGGTTGCATTTTGTAGCTGAAAATATCCAAGGGTAACCAATCATCAGCTGAGACTGTTCAGTTAATCATTTTTTGATTGGAAATCTATTCATGCCTGGCCCTACTGTCTCATCAAAACACCTTTCTTTCACCTCAGGAGAAGTTTGTTTTTGTTTGTTTTGTTTTTTCATCCAGAGAAAAAGTTTGACTTTCTTCATCAACCAAAGCTTTGTGGTTTATGATTTCAGTGAGTAAACAAAAAGTCTCGATTGACTAATACAAATGTCATTCAAGCCGTTTTTTTCAGTGGAGTGAAGTATTTGAAGCTGCATTGATTTATTTAGTTTATCGCCATTTGGGGGCAGTGGGTAGCTGTAAACACAACACTGTCATCGAGTGCTCAAACAGTTGTCTATTTACACATCCAGCAACATTAGCATTCATCCGGAGTCATGTTTCTGCCCCCCCGACTAATGTTAAGTCCAGCATTCACTCTACTTTTAGCTCTGTTCAAGCGAGTAATTGCAACATCCCTCTCCAGTACATGAAATATGGAACCCTGCCCAATATTTGTAATGTCCAGACATGTCATAAGTCTCCTCACAGAACTCCTGCTTTATTTTGGTGTTCATGTCAACCAGCAACAGTGAACACAACAGCAGTAGATGTTGAAATCACACTACCACTGATGCACACTAAAACGTGACTGGATCTGTTTCTGTAATGGAGCGACGCCAGAGAGGCAGTCAATAGGGCTGCACGATATGAAAACAAGATCTGTAGATTTCTTCAGAATTACAGGACTTCCTTATAATGCAATTTTGTCACATATTTTACCTTTTATATATCAAATAAAAAATCAGTTTCTGTGATTTGCATATTCCGATTTAAATAATATTTAGATTAACTGTTCGGCTGCACTGCCATATACACAAACCTCACTATCCATAATCATCTACTAAACACACTGTGTAAATTTGACGGCCTATTTAAGCCGTTCTTCCATCTCTTCCTCAGAAAGTTGCTTATTATCACAGTATTTCAGTGTAAACACATCTCTGGGGAGTGATAAGGTCGGAGCCTAGACGCCAAACTCTCTATGCTCTGCTGCTTCAATAAACATTTCAAGCGTGAGTTGTCTGGCTTAATTGTACTTAGATTTACTGTAGATTTGTTTTTTTCGCTAAACTGCTGCCATAGAAAATTTAGCTTCAAAAGAAGATGTGTTGTCGTTAATTACCATGGGTTTGAAGAAATCAATTGTATCAGAAAGAAATCATCGGTGCAACAACAAAAACATTATAAATTCCCAATCCTCTAAAGCTTTAGCTATATATTTACATATATATTATATAATATATATTTGTACAAAAGCCAAATAAAGTAAAGAACATTATCATAAATAACACAGAATGACTGCAGCTAGAGGAAATCCAAGTGTAACATTTTAACTTGGTAAACATATAGTCACTGTTAGTGAGTTGATGCTCTCTGTATGAAGAATAACTGAAGGAACTCAGCTGAATTGGGAATATTAAAACATTCTCAGATGTCCTTGGTCTAGTGACATCTAGAGGCAGTGGTGAACATTTAATGCTGTTTCCTGTCAACAATGACCTTGAGGACAACGACCTTGTATGTTTACAGATTGTTGCAAGCCGATTTCCTGAATGCTTCTCAAAACTGGGCTCTTTGGTGGAGACGTAGATGTATTTTTATTTTTTTGTGTTAAGGTGATATTTGAACACTTTTGTAGAGCTACATTGTAAAAACGAGTTGTTCTTGCACTGAAAAACAGTGCTTCTCCTCCAAGACACACCTAGGTTTACCATTCAGTGTCCGCAGTATCTTCTGTGAAACAATGATTCAGTTAGACCACAGTGTCATCAAGATGGTTTTGTTTTTCTTATATCATTATAATTACTGTCTTATGGATCATAAACATGCTCAGCTACTTTCACAGTTTTTATGTTAGTTTGCATGTAAAGTTAACATTTTCTCTCTGTAAACACTTCACTCTCATGTACAGGACATGCCAAAACAACGTGTTCACATTTCACAAGATACGATAAAATAAAGGTCATTGATCTCACACTGAGGAAGTGGGATCAATGCCGTTCACTTTACAGCAGCTCAAGAGTCAAAAGAAGAGAGAAGTATGGCGCCCCGGTGTGGCCACAGAGAGAGGAAAATATGTATCGAGGCCATGATTTACTACGCTCTAAATACTTCTGTCTGCACAAGACACAATGTGTTCCCATGCTTCGAAAGAAAGTTGTGCTTCATGGCAATCATTCACATAAAACAATATGATTATGATCTGTGTTAGCTGCAGTTAAATAACTTACTCCACTTCCAATAACTAATCTTTTTCTTGTGGGTTGTTTTGTGGGATTTTGAGCGAATGATGCTCCCATAGAGGTTAGCGTAGATGCTGCTAGCATCTTTCATTGAGAGAAGAGCAAAGAACGACACTGAAGGTTTTTCTCGATGGAAAATACGTTTCCACTCTTCTCCCCACTGACTTCAGACTTTGACTACGTTATATGGTTCGTTGATCTGATTGGTTGACGTTTCCCCGTGATGGCAGTGATAGACAGATGGTTCCTCCAATCACCGGCAGAGTATTTATTTGAAAGCACCAGCCGTTTTCTAAACTGTTTCCTATGACGACTTCCCAGATGGTTCTGTGTAACCAACTATCTGGCACTGTCAGGTTAAATTAGTTGCCAAGTGCACCCCACTGTATTCCTAACAAAAATCATTCGAGGTCGATTTCCTGAAGATCACCACTGGAGCCAAATGGCACAGGCAGCCGACTTCAGTGATTTAATATAAGTTCAGCTTACAAGCACGAGCAGGTACAGGTAGACAGGCAGGATAGATAGGTAGGTCAACAGGTACAGCTCCAGGCAAAGCAAAAGCAAAGTTGAAGTTAAACAAGACACAAGAGGAGGAGTGTTGCAAAATAAAACGGGAAGTAAACCCAAAACCATGACAGTTAACCACACAGGCTATAAACACACAGTTGGTTCACCACACATAACAGTCTTTTCAAAAAACGTGTTTTCTGACTACTTGCCAGATGATTAAAGCTGATATGATCATATAGTGTAACTGGAGGTGTTAGTGGCCCATGCTATATCTGAAGTACGATGTATACAGGGTGAACAGTAAAGGAGAGAGAGCACCAAACCCTCTGGGGTCCCCAATGCTGCAAACTGCCACATCAGACACATCAATGAAGTCTTGAAGCCTCACAAACTGTGGTCTGTTGGTGAGGCAGTCGATGGTGCATGAAGCAGTCTATTGCCGCTCCTTGAAACTTCCCCCTGTATTGTATCGAAGGCACTAGAAAATTAAAACAAAACATGACCCTTGCAGTGCTCCCAGTAATCTCAAGATGTGAGAGTTGAGAAGCAAATGACATCTTTGAGCTCAATGGGTCAGAGGCAGTTGAGTATGATCCTTTCTGTGGTCTCTATCAGGTGAAAAGGCTGCTGGTCTGAAGGAGACAGTCTTTGGTACTGGAACCACACAATACCCTTTCCACAGGTATGAAACTCCCTCCAGACTAAAATTGTGAGCACTGTATGGAAGAACCAAACTAAAAAAACACTTCCACTACAAGTAGTGAAGGATCATGTAACACATGACATTTGGTGCTGCTAGCACCAGAGCACAGTACAGCAAGAGGTGCACACTGAATATCAATCCTATAATAACCCACTCCTGGTCCTGGTGAAAACATGACAAATTTGCAGAGCTGTGGCCCCTAAAACTACTGATATAAAATAATAAATAATAACATACTGTATAGTCTCATTTTGCTCGCTTCCTGAATGTTTCCAGCTGTAGTTTATCAGGCCAATTAAATTAGAGTTTCAAGTGTTTTTCAACCTTTTAGTCTATCCTCGAGGACTGTGAGTTCAACAAGACCACAAAAACATAGATTGATCTAATAAGATAAAGGTGTTTGGGAAAATGCTGCATACTGGGAAAGAGGACAGTGTTATATCCTGTGCATAAGCCTCTCTCATCAAAAGTATCAACAGTTTCATATATATATTTCTTGCAGTAAACAAAGAGGGCACAATGACTGTTGAGTTTGTAAAATGTTACCAAATTCATTCTGACCACTGACAGGTGGAGTGAATAACACTGATTATCTGGTTATCATGGCTCNNGGCTCCTGTCAGTGGGTGGGATATATCAGGCAGCAAGTGAACATTTTGTCCTCAGAGTTGATGTGTTAGACGCAGGGAAAATGGGCAGCGTAAGGATTTGAGCGACTGACAAGGGCCAAACTGTGATGGCTAGATGACTGGGTCAGAGCATTTCCAAACCTGCAGCTCTTGTGGGGTGTTCCCGGTCTGCAGTGGTCAGTAGCTATCAAAAGGAAATGAAGGGAAAGTGGTGAACCGGAGACAGGGTCATGGGTGGCCAAGGCTCATTGATGCACTTGGGGAGCAAAGGCTGGCCCGTGTGGTCTGAATCTAACAGACAAGCTACTGTAGCTCAAACTGCTGGAAAAAGTTCATGCTGGTTCTGACAGAAAGGTGTCAGAACATGTAATAGCATAACATTATGGCTGATTGATGTATTATGTAGTAATATATGTAGCATATTGCAGTGACAGTGAGTGTAACCATCCTAAAAGGTCATAGCCTGTTAATCATGAGCCTTAAGAAGCAATTAATAAAGTGTCTGATGATCTGTCACAGGTGAATCATGTATTTGGAGACAAATGTATAGGACCCAAAATGGAGCCTTGTGGAACACCACAAGACAAAGAGGCAGTTGCTGTCACAAAGTTACCAAGACAAAAATCCAATCAGACAGGCGCAAAACCAACTGGAGAGCCTTCCTAAAATACTCCCCCGCTGCCCATGATTCTTGGTCTGAATGTAGTGATGAACTGTGTTTGACTGTACTAAGGTCAAGAAGTAGTCATCTGCTTTGCCTGCAAAACTATGAATCATCATTACACTACAGAGGGTTGTTTCAGTGGAGAGGATTAAATTAAAACCAGAATAGGAATTTAACAAGGACATTTCTTGTATCCAGATAGCTGTGAGCTAAACCCAAGTGGTGAAGAACTATCTATCTATCTATACTATCTATATTCATCTATAAGAATAAGCTTCCTCCAGCAGACCTTTTATTGACCGGTATTCCCACTGAGCTCTACAGTCTGCCTTGCAGGTGGTGAGCCTGCAACACGTGCGAACAGGAAAGGATGCATATTCCTTCACACCAGTGAGTGACCCCACTGTTTGTGAAGTGTTAACACTCTTTCATGTGCTTTTCTTACTCACCACACAAGCCTCATATTCATGATATACCATCATTCATGACACACCTGCAGGAACGGCCATATTTAAAATTGTGAGACTGTTGAAAAACTGAGAGCCAAATGTATCTAATTGAGTTTGCAGGCTCAATCTGCATGTATACACGACCTGATTTACTGAGACAGCAGCTCATTACGCTGTCAGCTCCTGGGGATATCCTCTAGGTGCACACTGTGAGTGAAGTAGAGCACAGCAGATACAGCTCAGTGGTGGGATGAGATCACTGCAGCTTGAAGTGATTTTACAGTTCATCGATGGTCAAATTCAAATTAAATTGATAAACATCAACTAATTAGTTTTAGCTTTAGTTTATTTCTTCCACTACAACCTTTGTGGCTCTTGACTCTGAGACCCCTAAGTGTCATGTAAGTTCAGAATTAGGTCCTATACTATGACCACTATTACTACTAAAATAACTACTATTAAAAACAATAATATAAACATAATGTAATCACGTTGAGACATTAATGAGAAAAGCTTCAAAAAACATGGGAATGTGTTTTTATTAAATAAAGAATAAATTACAATAAGAAGACATTAATGTATAAATAACTCAATAATAACACTGAAAATTATATCTCAATGTGTCACAGCAACTTTGAGAAAAGTAGTTATTAAGTAAATGTACACTGTTGAAGTTCAAAGGGATGAGTGATATGTGGATAGTGGGCCGTCGATTTAGTAACAGGAGTTAGGACAGCCGTGCTTTACCTCATGATATAGCAATTTAATGTACACGTCACACATTCAGAAATAGTTGGTAAGTTGATGTAAAGTTGCATTGATGTGTGGACTGATTGGCTGTAAGCAAACAGGCAATATGGACACAAGCATGCACACACAAACACTGTTTCAAATATTTGCTTGAAACCTTTGACTGCACCACAATCACAGACTACTATTATCAGTTCGTTGCAGACTTCACATTTCATATCAAAAGTGCACGTTCATGGTTTTTATAAAATTATGATTCAAAACAAAAAGATTATTATTAGATTATTGAATTTGAATTTCTTGTAGTTTTGGCATATTTGTCCTCTACTGCAGACAGTAAGTGGCAGAGCAGTATAAATGTTGAGTTCCTGAAGGAAAGTTGGTAAACATGTTTACAACCTAATCAATAAACTGATTTGGAATAATTACACCAACACTGAGTGCATACCATTAGGCTAATATTATTAAAGTTTGTAAACCTGATCTGGATCTGATTGATATATTATTATTACTGACAGCCGTAGAGGACCCAAACTCTGTAAACCTCATCAGAAGAAAAACTTTGACTGTGTAAAAATGTACATACAAATCTCAGCAGTCAGCGGAAGACACAAAGCTGGTCTAAGTGCCCGTTTCTGCTCTGTTCAATCACTGCTCATACGTGGCAGAGTGCCGCCACCAAGTGGTGAACAGGATGAATTTAATTTTAAAATGGCATTACCACAAATACTGGTCACCACATCAGAGTGGTGACAGAAACTTTGCATGGCACAAGACATCAAAGAAAAAATAATACAAACTGTCTGTTTTTCTGTTCACCAGTGCAACAGTCGTATTTCTTTTGGGTCAGAAAAATATTGTTTTCATGAATGGTCAGTGGGTTCGGTGAGAAGGAAAATGCATTAAATCAACCTTGCTGAACAAATAATAATAAAAAAAAACCCATTTCAGTTGAGTAAGCTTGTATATAAAATTAGTCATAGCTACTCTTTCATTTCTATAAAGTAATGCAGTACTGGTTAAATTACATGCTTCTGGCTTTAACATTAAAATTGGGTGCATGTTGTCCATTTAGTTGTCAAAATAGGTCACAAAATCAATAAGAATCTGAATATATAATGTTTAATAAAACCACTTATCTGTTGTATGCGATGAATCAGAATCTGCAGTTTGAACCTTGTGGACTAATTACACACTGCTGCCCGGAGAATTACTTTTCATAGTACTTCTTCATAGTACATAGTGCACTTAGTATGCAGGTGTGAGCACACTAAACTACTTTAAAATGGAAAATCAAACATAAACAGGGCGAGGGAACAGAAATGTGTTCTGTTGTTGAGGGTGGGTGTAAAAGAAGACAGCACAGCTTGTAATGTTTGTTAAACCCTACTGACAGTTAAACCACAGGGATTCTTTCTCCGAACGAACAGTCGCTGCTGAGAATTTAAAAAAAGCAATTTATACAGAGTCAACTGCAGAGCTGGCTAGCTCATCACTACTACACAGGAATTATGATTTTAAAATGTAGAGCAAATCATATAATGTGTCTGAATTCAGGCATCAGTTGCTACACTACACTAAAACCTCTTATACACATAATAATGTGGTACTTTCTAAGCTTGTACTACCCGGACGATGATGAATGAGAAGGCGTTGGCAGTAGATAAAATGTTAATTTTATAATGGCACTAAGTCTCTGGGTGGGACTGTCCTGTCATTCAAATATTCATAGGAACGACTTTGAAATGAAACAAGAGGGGGTCTGATATGTGTTTGTGGGGATGGTGTGGGGACGTAAGTGAAGAGGGGAATGGGTGGAGTTTGAAGTCGAAAAACGACACTGATTTTTTTTACAGATTTAAGGGATTTCCAAGCATGCAGCGTGGTGCCGTGCTGCGGTGACAATGATTATAGTTTCATCTGCATCAGTATCATTGTACTGTTTCCTGTTCTTACTTTGTCAGAACTACTACGCCCCCTGACTGACTACAGGTTGCTTTCCTGGGTGTCATTGGTGGATATGGGGTGCAGACCTCCATTCTCGTTCAGTCTCTTGGCACGATAGGTTTCATAGTGAATGTTGTGAGTGACCTCCTTCAGATCCTGAAGGTGAGACCTGAGAAACAGAAATACAGAAACACAGAGGAGGCGTGTTACGAGTTATGTATATATCCATTTGAAAAAGGGAGTATCACAGTTATTGTGTTTTTTAAACACATTTTAGGGATCCTTGTGTTTTGGTTTAATAACTAATAAATGCAAAAGCATTACTGGACACTAGAAGCAATTTGAACCAATGGGATTTATAATTTTTTAATTATACTGTTACAAGCAAAGAATTATACATGCCTATTTACTAAATGCATATTAACCTAATTTTTACATTATGTGTCAGTCTTTGGAGAAGAAGGTGATTATAAATCGATCATTTAAAAAACATATTTTGGGGGGCTTTTTGCCTTTATTTTGACAGGAAAGCTGAAGATGGACAGGAAAGGGGGAGACAGGTTGGATCCAAAACCGGACCGTTGTTAGGGATTCAGCCTTGGTACATTGGGCGCCAGCTCCACCACGCTATAAGGGTGCCCATCAAATCGATTAGTTGATCATCAGAAAATGAATCAGCAACTATTTTGGTAATCATTTTAATTGATCGTCATTTCATTTCCAGCTTCTCAAACGTGATTATTTGTTGGTTTTCTTTGCATTCTGGGAACTGAATAGCTTCATGCATGACTCATACATTAATAAAAGGCTAATTTTACGCATGATCCACGATGATAAATATACAACAAAATAGAAATGCATGGCAAAAAAAGCATTGTCAATATTTTTGGAGACCCACCTAAATTTCACTAATCATGTTTTTAGGGGAGCTCCCCTGGCTCTCCTTTGGTTCGCACCCTGACTATGACACAGAAAAAGATGCCCAATCTGGCAAATCCCACGATTTCTAATTAAGACCTGTTTATTATAGGGCTGAACAATTTATTGAAATATTATCAAAATTGCGACAAAATGTGACCAATGTGACAAAACAGCATTATAATGAAATACTGTAGAGTCGCACTGGCCTACAAACCTTACAATGCATTGTGTTGGGATTTTAATCATCTATTTAAAAGACAGTTTTACCTGATCAGGAAATCTCTCAGCAGAGCAAACTCACAATGGTTGGGATTTTCAACTGCAAAAAAAAAAGAACAAAATGAAATGTTACATCTTATATATCAAGTCCTTTCCCGTCTATCAATATTATTTCTGTGGCAAAAGGACTGTAAATGTAACTTATTAAGAAAGGCCATATCACCCACCTTCTACAATTCCCCACGCTGTCTTCCTCCCCAGAACTCGTTTGCCATTCACTTGATATTCTTTGTCGCTGCCCACCACAGCAAAGGGCATTGCCTCCTGTGGACGGAGACATTTCAACACGGTTCAGTGTGCCGAAGAGAGTTGCACTAGGTTTATGAGATGAAACAAATACACAACATGCCCCAGTGCCCTGACATTCTGTTTGGAGGAAGCAGTGCGTGAGTGTGAGAGAGATTGAGTCCAGCTGGGTGGAGAGGAGGGGTGGGGAAGATGAAAACTCCCAAGACAAATATGTGTGAAAGAAAGAACACGACCGCTTACTCTGATCTTGTCGTTGTCGCTCTTGTCCTCCATGTCCTCATCAAACTCTTTCTGTGGGTAAAACTCGATCCCGCCCATCTCCAGCTCCTTCCTTACCTACAGCCCAGACAAAGACAGGAAACAGCATGCTTAGCAGACAGACAAAAATATTTATAGAGTTAACTAATCCAATGAGCTGATATTGGCAAATTGGAGCCAGTGGAAACAAGTGGTAAACTCAACAGTGACTTACAAAGTGCTGAATTTGTTAGTAAACAGCTGCTTATTTACACATCCAGCAGACAGGTAGTGAAACTAGTATTCTTTTGTTAATAGATGAATGTCATTTTTTTTTTTCACTGGAAACAGCTGCTGCCTGCTGCGGCCAAAAACGACTCTACGAGAGTGGACCAGAAAGTTGTGGGGCGTAAAACCAAAACATTAAAAGTTAAAATATGTGATAATGTTACTGAGGGTTGAGTGGACCCACAGATCTGGGTGATGATTATCTGTTGCTAATATTTAAATATTAGTTGGAGTAGCTTTAAAGACCAAGATATGTACTGAGCAGGACATTTTGAAGTTGAAAAATAAACTTGTCAATGCTGAATACACTGTTTCTAAAATACCACAAACATATCTTTGGCATTTCTAATATCTATAGGCATCAGTTCCAACAGCAAATGTCAGTACAGAACTAACACACACAGATACCATCTGAAATAAGCTAATAAGCTGATATATAGGCCTGGCTGATTCATCAGTGTAGCTCTAGTGGCATCATTGGTGAAACTCACCCGCTGTTTGAACTCCTGTCTCTCCTCAATGGTCATCGTGTCTGCCTTTGCAATGACAGGAATAATGTTGACCGAGTGACTCAGGCGCTTCATGAACTCGACGTCTAGCTGCCGGAGACTGGGACAGTCAGAGAACAGAAAAGACAGAGGAGAAAAGTGAGTAAGTAGGTAGATTTAGGAGCTGAGTCTCCCAGAAGGGCTGTATGCAACAATGAAAAGACCATCAGGATAACAAGGAGCAGAAGAAGGGACCGGGATTTCATTTGTGTCATGTTTCATACGTCTCATTACCTTTCCCTGGTCTTGTAGCAATTATAAAAGATATAGAGTGTAAATGCTGCTGAAAAGTAGGCTTATCACTGGACAAAGGTTGTGTCCCAGTTCTTGTTTGCCTGAGCACAAAA